ATATATAACTAAATATTATTTGACTATTTAATTTGATAATCTTAGTCTAATACTTACGTGTACCGTAAGTTTCCTGCAATTGGCTTGTCCGTATACCGGCAGATGCATTTTGCTAAAGCACAGCATCACTGCGCATCAGTCACAATTGTTAAAAAAAAAATTATTGTATAAGTCGCTCCTGCATATAAGTCTCACACATCATTTTTAAGAAACAAAAACAAAAAAAAAGTAGCAACTTATACTCTGGAAAATACGGCAATTACCATTTTCGATGATAAAAACGAACTATGTATCAAGATTAAATTTGCCAATTTACAATTTCTTATCATGACTTTTTTCATGTTTAACACATTTTGAAATATATTTTCCTTGGAAACAAATCGTGAGCCATGCCAGACACCGCATTATAAGCGGGTTCGCGAGTTATCCGGGCGCGAGTTATTGAGGGAGTTGTGTACTTCCTTCTGTTATAAGTGATAATCAAGAAGGTCTCAGTTCTTTCATTTAGAGATAGAGGGTGTCATCAAGGGGGCATTTAGCCCAATAATTGTTTATTATAGGAATGGAACTTTTCTCCTTTCATCTTAAATAACAGAAATATTACTGGTTCATTTTATAATGACAAAATTTATACTGTGTAGTTACTTGGATGTTAACTTTATACTATTTGATGGCTCTCTAGTTTATGTCTACCATCGATACACTTAAAGATTTTGTCTCATTCTCAGGTTTACCTTGTAATGAATTAAAATCAAAAGCTGTTTCGATAGGAAGGAATTCAGAAGAAAAAATATTTCCAGACATAAAATTGTTTTGGTCTATTTCTTCCTTTCAAGAGTTCTTTTTCAACCTAGACAATATGCAACTATTAATTTATGCAAAGATGTTGATCCATCAGTTGCATCAAAAAGTTTAGAAGTTTTCACGTCAGCTTGATGAAAGCATAAGTCAATTTCATATTCCTTGTTTATTTGAGCTTAACTGCATACCCAGGAGCAACAGTGTCGCTTGAATTATCTCTGAGTATTGATCCAGTATTAATATGCTATTGTCAGTGTTCCATTTTAGTGTTGTTTTCATTTTCATCTGGTATAGCCAAAATCAAACCCTGTATTATACAGTGTAGGTTTATGTCATTTTCATTGAAGTGCTGTATTTTATAATTTTATAATTTAAGGATGTTAGCAAATTAGAATCTGAAGAGGATAACCAAATAACAACCAAAGGTGACACAAAGTCCGACAGGAGTGTTGGTGAGGATGAAGAACCTGAAGAAACTAAGAAACAAAAAGAAAAGAAAAAAGAAACAAACAAAAAGAATGAAAAGTCTAATAAGAAATCTTCAAAATACAGTAAAAGAAAAAAGTCTGACTCTTCAGCAGAGGAAGAAGCAGAAGACAAAAAAGGTGGTGATATTACTCTTGTTGATACACCTCAGTATTCCCACTGATAAATGATGTGTAGAAATATTTTTATTATGGTCTGTAAAAGCTGTTTTTAAAGGTAAAATTTTGTGTTTTGTTTTAGCTCACCTGTTTATGAGGATACATGAGGTTATGATATGGCTTTGTGTCTGTTATGCATCTTTCAAGACTTGCTTTTAGTATGGATTTGTGTCTGTTATGCATCTGTCAAGACTTGCTTTTAGTATGGCTTTGTGTCTGTCATGCATCTGTCAAGACTTGCTCTTAGTATGGCTTTGTGTCTGTTATGCATCTGTCAAGACTTGCTTTTAGTATAGCTTTGTGTCTGTTATGCATCTGTCAAGACTTGCTTTTATTATGGCTTTGTGTCTGTTATGCATCTGTCAAGACTTCCTTTTAGTATGGCTTTGTGTCTGTTATACATCTGTCAAGACTTGCTTTTAGTATGGCTTTGTGTCTGTCATGCATCTGTCAAGACTTGCTTGTAGTATGGCTTTTTGTCTGTCATGCATCTGTCAAGACTTGCTTTTAGTATGGCTTTGTGTCTGTTATGCATCTGTCAAGACTTGCTTGTAGTATGGCTACCTCTGAAGGCAGGTGCTTCTATCAATCCTGGTTAATAATAAATACATGTACCATGCACTGAATAGCATTAGCATTAATATTGATATTAGTATTATTATTATTAGCATTGTAATTATTTTGCATCTACAATTAGCAATAATAGTAAGTTTTGAGGTACTTGTATTTAGTGTAGCCATTTAGCAAATAACAAAGTAATAGAAGTTTCATATAAGATCACTGTATCCTTGCTGTAATCTCTCATAAGTTACATCAATACTGATTATCCCTGTCATTGTCACATGTATTGAAGTTTTGATCAATTTTTGTCAGTTCCATTTATTTGTATTCCAACCTCACCTGTGATCGGGAAACAGGAATGACTTGAGGCAAGATCTTACCTGCATATGATAAGGGTCACATTTTATATGTCAGGTAGACTCATTTCAATTTACCACTCAGACAGTTCTAAATATTATTGTGTACATAAATAATAAAATTAACATAAATTATTCTAGTCTTTCAGAAGTGTGATCAAAAAGATGGCTAGGCAACCAAACAAAAGGAGTACATAGCAATTTGTATGGATAGATATGGCTTATTATGGAGAATGATGTTCTAAAGTTAATAGAGAACTGAAAATTCCTGAAGTTGAACTCGGAGCTTTGCTCAAACTTGAACAGAACTTTGATTATTACTAGCACTGAAATTGTGGCATCATTATTTCACTAATAAAACAAGTGAAACAAGTTTCAACATGACAGTTTTTTCAAGAAACAAGCATCGCAACTGAAAATTTTGAACAGAAGTAATCTTGTTTGTTGTGCAAAAGGAAGTGATGTAATACACTGTTTTGCAGAAAAAGACACACACGGGTGTTGCAAATTTGTAGAGTTATATTTTTTTTAATTAAAGATGCCTAGGAACCCACACATTGATAATAACTTACCATATACAAGTTTTTTGCCAGTGCTTGTATAGACGAAACTCACTTTGTTTCCGAGTGGCCGAGTGGTCTAAAGCGCTGTCCGTTACGGATCACTGCTATCTCACCTCTGTCTGCGTGGGTTCGAGTCTAGGAATGTGGATATGTGAGAAAGCTTGCCAGTAGCTTCTCGTGGGTCGGTGGTTCTTTCCGGTGATTTCCCGGTTTCTTCCTCCACCATTAATACTGGCCGCCATGAATAGCCTATCGTGTGCTGAAAAATGGCGTTAAGCCCAACAACAACAACAACAACAACTTTGTTTCCAGGTTGACAACCTGCTTGATTGAGCTGCAAATATATGTATTTTTTCAGTGCCAAGCAGAGGTCTGCCTCTTCCAGTAAATAATTTACCTTAATTCATACAAACTTTTTTTCACTTAATTACGCCTTATGTGTAAATGTATTTGGATTACGCTTTTTTGGTATATCCCTCTTCCCCTAAAATTAATTTGTTTTCTCATTTTCATTAACATCCCACTAATTGCACAGAAAATATTCTAGAAAAAGACAGCTTCTGTGTAACTTTGACACAAGAGTACACTTGTCCATAGACTAGCTTTCACTTTCCTAACAGCATTATGTTCTATTTATAGTAGGTGCCCTATTTCCAAGAAACATGCTGGTTTGTACTTTAAAACTTTTGACCTCAGTTTCTATTTGTAGCAGCTGTCTGGCTTAGTTAGGAGAGAACAGACTGGTTTTCTAATTTTTAATCTTTGCTCACATATTCTTTGTTATAAATCATATGAGGTACAGAACCATTTTGTAGGTATTTGGCAGTAAAAGTCAAATCAGATTTATTCAAGTTTATGTGTATGTTACAGCAAAAAAGTTTCTCAAATTTCACAGATGGATTGGAAAAAAAATGATTCAAAGATGAATGCATGAATTGCACAATACTGTGTTTCTTTCTAGGGCAGCTTCACGCACATTGCAGGCTGTGTGGAAGTGATTTTAATATTGGTCATAGTGTAAAATAAAGACGCCTTGAATTGGCTCCTTTTACTTACTCTAGAACTAGGGTAACTTCTTGTTTACAGCAGAACTAAATTGTAGAAACGAATTTGATAAATGCAGGGGCATTATTTACTTAGTTCTTAATAGAACACAGACTACCTCTAGTGGTATAATACAACATTTGTCCTTTGTTCGAATGGATTGTTCCTGACACCAAAAGTGTGGAAAATATGCATGTGCAAGAACAAAATCATTTAATATTGTTAGGTGTTTAGCAGATGGTGCATCACTTAAAATTGCAGAAGCCATGAAAATTGAGCCCTTTATTATTGCCACAGTCATGAGCAGTGATTATGATGACAAAATGTATCCAGTCTGTGTAACAGACTTTGACAATGAAAATGGGCACGGTCAGAGTGCTCTTTTTCCATTACCAGAATTAACAGCAGATTCAACTGGATAAAACATTTTTTAATTGTTTGATAATGATTTGAATAAACAGAAGTTGGCAGAACTGTAAAACTTGAACCAGTAATTGGTGTTAAAAATCCACAGGGGTAAATAAATTAATTTGTACATATGCACATTGAATTTTATTATTTTATATGTTTATTACTCTTTTTCTGCTTAGATTACTCTTTTTGTCCACTTGAATTACACTTTTTCCTCGCCAGGGGTTGACATGTTATGCCTTAATTCCATAGTTTGTTTTCCTATGTGATAACCTTTTGATTGAGCCACAAGTGTGGTACAGTGGAAAGTAATAGAGGGTGGTTATTTAATCTTGCCTCACAACTGACATGTGTTTAGTGCAACCTTGAATAGAATTCACAAATTGTATGATCAGAGCTCAAGCTCAGTCGTAAAGCATCTGCATATGACATTGAGGCCAGTGAAAGGGAGTCTGACAATATTTATGATGACTAGTCTATGATAATTTACTAGACAATGGAGGCATTTAAGAAATTTTATCAGAAAATGAGGATGAAGTTTTTTGGTTTTGCACCAGATGACACTAGGTATTGATATTTATAGGATACTTTGAATTGAAAAAATTGTTGACTTTTGTTCTTTTTTTACCGCTTTTGTGGTTAGAGCATCTGCCTCGGATGTGGGAGGTCGCGGGTTCAAACACCGGCTGAATAATATTAAAGACTTTAAACAACCGTACAGACAGCTGCCTTGCTTGGCTCTCAATATTAAGAAGTTAGTGTTAGGACTGGTCGGCCTGGTGTCAGGATAATGTGACTGGGTGGGACACCATGCTACATCTCTGCTGCATGATACCCCGGTGCTAGACATCACTATAAACTGTCACACTGCAGACATTGTAGCGATATGACTGAAAAATGGTTAAAACTACGTTAAAATTGAAATCACTAACACACACAGACTTTTGGTTTTCACATATTTAATACAATTTCCCTTTGATAGCGTAGCCATCATTAGGATTGATGTGTACCTGGTAGACGTTTTCAAAACATTTTACAGCTTTATTCAGAGATTGGTTATAGTGCTGTTGCTCACCCACCCACAGTACTTTTTATGTCCAACTGAGAACGCACTCATATTATTTTTTGCAGTCTAGTGGTAACTCACACCCAATGACCCCATTATTTGCATGTTACTGAAGGAGAGGTGTATATACCAAGATATTTGAAGCAATGGCTTTACCTTATTCCACAGAGTTTCGAATCTGGGAATCTGGTGGTCCTTTTAGTAATTAGCTTTTGTAATTTTAAATAATCTGGATCTGCCACAATTAGAGATACTTCTGAGATGAGTCAGTGTCTTTTGCAAGAATTGTGTAGCCCAATTAAACTGAATTCATTTTGGAATGGGCTCCCTGTGAGTGATTCAGATATGGAATTTGTTTTTATTATTAGAAGATGCTTGTCACATTAGATTTTCCCAATGATGCCAAAAATGTTTAACAGGCCCATTGTTGTTTTTGTTTGTTGTATGTTTTAAAATTTTGTAGTAATAAATAGGAAATGCTGATTTTCTTAGCTAGGAAGGCCACTGCCCAAGGTCTTTCCTGTCTGTAAAGGACACATACCTATGAATGGTGTGAAGTTTTGCATGTACCTAATTTTTGTCATGTCTGTAAGTTATAAATAAATTTGTATACTGATAATTGAGTTACAAGTATAGCCTGATTTACAGATTAGATGTTTTGGAAGTGAAAATGTGTCTTAGGTCAAGTGAAAATTGTATAAAAGGTTATAGTAAATAAACATATTAATTTCCATTTTAAGTTCAGTCTGTTGAATAATTTATTGTTGTATTCAGATATAACTTGAAGATAATAATTTATTAACTGATTGACTTTTTGGACTAAGACACTACCTTGGGATTATTGTGAATTCATTCAAAGACATTTTGGATTATATCATTGTGATATTTCAAGACTGTTGGTACATCAACCTATTGAAGAATTTTGATACATCAATGCATTCAGTATTGAAATTCATTCTTAATACTGTTTTTAGACTTCTGGTAGAACCGTTACAGTTATTTGCGATTTAATTCACATTATTTTATGTTCCTCATAAATTTTTTTTGATAATATAGAAAGATAAATTATTTGTTAATTTTACTAAACTTGTTGGTTTTGCTTCTTTCTATTAATAGTTTAAGACCATAGTCAAGCAATTGCTGTTTTATTGAAATCATGAGTCAGTACCTGATCAGGCTGATTATGTTCTATGGCAGATTGTATCTATTATTTGCATTGTGCGATTTTATGATTGTAGATCAAAGTCTGTTATTTGCATTGTATGATTGTAGATCAAAGTCTATTATTTGCATTGGTTGTTTTTTTTTGTTTTTTTAACAAGCAGATATGTTGATGTTGGAGATTCAAATAAAATATGATGGGCAGTTATGTTCATTAAAAGATTTTCCCACTGTCAGTACACTTTAAATTTTCAGTGACCCTTTTATTTGTGGAACAGTATGCAGTTGTTCAACATTTTTTATGTGACGTCTTAATGAGATGACACCTTTCTGTGAGTATTTATACAGTTACTGGCTGACATGGATATATTTAATTTAAAAAAAAACTATTTAAATTATTTTTTTTCATTATTTGATAGAAGCTGATACAAACCAGAAACCCAATAAGGAAAAGAAAGAAACTTCTAGTACTCCAGCAATTCACAGTTTCTTTGGTATGAATGATTTTAGTTCTTACTTTTCTTCGTATTAGATATTCATTTGCAAGATTGTAAATTTCATCTAAACATTAACTGTCGAGTATTGCACATTTTACAACCTCGTATATGTGGTAGAACTGGGAACCTTACATATGGTAGCACTTAGATTCATACATACACAGGGATTCATACTTAACATTGGGATTTGTACAAACAGTAACATTGGGATTCATACATATAGTAGCAATGAGATTCATTACACAGAGTAACACTGGGATTCATACATAGTTACATTGGGACTCGTACATGTTCACACTGGGATTCATACTTAACACAGGGATTCATACATAGAGTAACATTGGGATTTATACAAAGAGCAACACTGATTCATACATAAAGTCACACTGGGATTTATACATACAGTCGCACTTGTATTCATGCATGGTCACACTGGGATTGATAGTCACCCTGGGATTGATACATACAGTAACACTGGGATTCATACATTCAGTAACATTTGATTCATTCATATAATAATTATGAGACCCACCCATTTTTTTAAATTTTTTTAAATTTTTTGTTTATGCAGAATAACTCCTATTATTATTGTTGGGTTTTCTTTGCAGCTAGATATTGATTGGACCCTACCTGAAATTGATTATTTAGTAGTCTCCATCAGCATTTAGCAGAGCCCCCAAATGTAGAACCCACCAAGCTATAATTTTTGCACAAAAACTTTGTTAATTATTACTAGATCTTAATCACATTCTCATACATAAAAACATTACGCTTTTTCACTAAATTACGCCTTATACATAAATGTATTTGGATTACGCTTTTTCGGTATATCCCCTCCCAAAAAATTAATAATTTGTTTTCTCATTTTTATTAACATCCCACTAATTGCACACAACGTATTCTAGAAAAGATGGCTACTGTGTAACTATGACATAAATGTACACTTTTCTGTAGACTAGCTGTGACTTCCCCAAGTGTTATGTTCTATTTATAGCAATTTCCCTGTTTACAAATAACATGCTGGTTTGTACTTTTAAACTGTTGACCTCTGTTTCTATTTATAGCAGCTGTCTGACTTAGGAGAGAACAGACCGGTTTTATAATTTTTAATCTTTGCTCACATATTCTTTGTTAAAAAAAAATGGGAGGTACAGAACCATTCTGTTAGAATTTGGCGGATTTCACAGATGGATTAGAGAAAAAAACAAAAAAAACCCCAACTTGAATATGAATACATGATTAACACTATACAGTGCCATTCTTGGGTAGCTTCATGCCCATTGCAGGATGTGTGGAAAGGATTTTAAAATTGGTCGTAATGTAAAACAAAGATGCCTTGAATTAGCTCGTTTTGCTAATTAAAATACTAAGGTAACTTCTTTTTTTTTCAGCAGAACTAATTTGTGGAAACAAATTTTATAACTGCAGAGTCATTTTTTACTGAGTTCTTAATAGAACACTGACTACAACTAGTGGTAAATACAACTTTGGTCCTTTGTTCAAACAGATTCTTTCTGATGCCAAAATTGCAGAAAATATGCATGTGTTTTGTACATATTCACATTGAATTTTATTATAGTTAAATGTGGATCGTGCTTTTTCTGCTCAGATTACTCCTTTTGTCCACTTGGACTACGCTTTTTCCTCACCAGGGGTTGGCATGTATGCATTCTGTATGCAACTTTGTTGAGGTCACTAGTCATCATTCTGCAAAATTTTTGGCAGAGTTATAGTCCCTGAATGCCATATTTGCATCACATTAGTTCCCTTTGTTATTGTATTTGAATTAAATTCGGTATGCAGTTAGATACTATTGACATTTTGGCAGAACTCATTGCTCTGTATTCTGTGTTATTGTTTAGTATAGTTATAGCACCATTTGTTTCTGTAACCCACTTGGTTTCTGCAAAGAAAATTTCTTGACTGATATAACTATTATAATATTGAAAGTGACAAATCAAAACAAACAGCACAATGATTTCTTGATTTTCAACTGAACTTGTCATGTGGTTTGATTACGATGAGACTGGCTGAATTTGATTGTCAGCATTCAGTGTTAGTCCCACCCACTTTAATTTCCAGACAATAAGTTCTTATAATTGAATTTAATCCAGAATTAGTGTACAGCTTAAATTTCATGAAACCTTGACAGAGTTCATTTATCGGATTTGGCATCTTTAGCAGAAATATAGTCCTTAATTGTTAGAACCACCCACTTTCAATTTTGTTAACACCAAACATCACCGGTAAACTATTGAATTGATCGGAAACTAAGATTCTCCTCAAAATAAAACTTTTTTAAATTGTGAAGATGTAGATCTTTGTTGCATATTACACAGATTTGTTATGGGATGCTTTAAAAAAATAATAATAGTAATCAAATAGTAATTGATTACATTCCAGTAAGTAGTGTTAATGTAATTTATAACACAGCTTAAAACTGTACTTGTCAAATAAAAAAAAATAATAGCAATCAAAAAGTGATTACATTCCAGTAAGTAGTGTTAATGTAATTTATAACACAGCTTAAAACTACTTGTCAAATTAAAAAAATAATAGTAATCAAAAAGTGATTACATTCCAGTAAGCAGTGTTAGTGTAATTTATAACACAGCTCAAAACTGTACTTGTAATCCAGTTTAAAATGTATTTATAATTCAATAATTACATAGTAAAGTAATTAATCTTAATTTGATTTAATGAAGTTTAAGCTTCGAGTTTTTCTTTCAGCACCTAGAATTAGTGTAAAACAGGAAACTGGAAAGGAGAAGTTGAAGGTAAAGGAAGAGAAAGAGGAGGAGAAGAAAGAAGATTGTAAAGAACAGAAGAGGTAAGTCATGTCTAGCATACTTACATCTTAGACATAACTGAGACATTGTGGCATGGGTATAACATGAGACGGGGCTAGACATAGTGAGACATAGGTATAATTTTCCGTACATCAGAAATCTCTGTTGTCAATGATATCATT